CATTTAAAGTTATCATGTATTCAAATGAACCTGGATGAAACCTGGATTAAAAAGACACCATTCTTACATTTGACACAACATCAATTTTCCATATTTGTTCTCAGCTAAAAAAATCAGATTTCAAATTGATTATTTTAAAAAGATCGTTTATGAAAATAACAACCGGATATTTTTCTTTCTCTGTTAAATATATAAGTTGACCATTCGTATTGTCAGCGATCCTGGTAGTTAATCTTCTAACTACACATCATTGTAAGATATATTTGAGGTTCATGGATAGATTAGTTTCTAAAATGTCCTTTATATAGAATATCACGTACATGTAATTGTTTTATGTAGTGTGCACGACCACGAGTGCTGGGAAAGATCACGGTATTCAAAACATTTTAATGCAGCAGGTTATACTAATTGTCAGAACTTTAGAAATGTACTCTATGCACGACACATCGACACTAATAAATATAACAAGTGTTTTGCTTTTTTTTAATTTTTAAAAATCCATTCTGCTACAAAATAACACTCTTTAGGTAAAATTGAGATTTAATGAAGGAAATTGTCACCATTTTTATGATGTGGCCAAATTTTGAATTGATCTGAATAACGACCCTTGGTAAAAAAAAAATGGGGAGTACTTACCCTCCTTATGAGTTTTTTTTTTTTTTTTTTAAGAATGTACAGTTACTACACAAAGCTGTTAAAGTAACTGCGCCTTCTATTTTTCAGAGCTCATTTTGAATAATGCTGTTTTATTTTATTGCGACCCTCTCAGAAAACGATAACTAATTACCCATGTGCTTGAGAATACTTGTGGAGCGACTACAGTCGTGACGTGTAATAAACCGAGACCTTTGGTGGATTTTCCATAATGTACTCAACCCATATTTCATCTGATTTGATGGACCCGATAAAGCCATTGGATTACAAATTAAACTAATAGATACTGCTCTAAGTGACTCATGCCTAATTATAGCCATAATGCAAAGGAGCAGGGCGGATATAAACGGAAGTTATAAATATAACTCCATATGCAGTGTCGTAAAATTAGCGTTGTCGTTTTTATCGTGGCTGCCGTTCCAATCGGTTAGGCTGGTAAGAGTTATTCCCCTTGTATACATAAGCCTTTATTTATTGCAGAGTTGCTTCCCTTCGAGTATTATTTGATATGATGACACGCTTTTTGTGTTAACCGAAATTAAGGACAAAAAAGTGGTTTAGTACAGTCAGATACAATGTTCATCGTTAAGAATTAAAAACAGCCCACATCTGGTGCAGAACAAGAGTATTTACATTTATACTGGCATATACATATACCTTAATAACATGAATCAACGTAAATACGTACAGCAATCCAGACTGTTTCTGTCTTGTATGTGTAAATTGAAAATATACTTAATTAGTTATCACCACAATTGGATGTTATGTATAATCTAGTCATTAACTCTTTGTTCAATTAAAGAGGATATGGAGTAGGTTATCCCGGCAGTCTCTCTGAATACAGGTGTTACATATGAGAGTGTGTGGTCTCATTATCAAACGGAAATCTCGATGCTTAACCGTTAGTGTGTCATTCTTGCCCGTCACCTATATGTTATACCTATGTTTTGTAATCGAATTTCTCTCTCGCGTAATTATTAATTATCATTACATCAAAAATAATTGTTTATTCGACTGCTGAGTTCACAGGTGTCATCTTTATATTTACAAGGTCACCAATGACATTAATAACAGCAGTATCTGCCCTGACGTTAGACAAAGAAACTGGACGGTTGCAAACACTTCGCAGTAGATGCTCAGATGGCCTCCAAGCCTGACGGTAATTTTCTTTCATAACAATAAAATGGACGGAATTGCTATATGGTGAGGGGGAAATGTTTGCCTTGTTTGAGTTTGTGTAATTTTTAATTAATAATGCGTCTCAGCATAAGTTTTGGAACATTTTAGACATTGCTTTTTTCATTTTTAGTGTTGATACCGATATGTACCAAACACAGAACAACACCAAAGGGACGAAATTCTCTGATGGTATATTACATGTTTACTTTGCGCGGCTTTCTTTTTGGAATTTCTGTTTTTAACAATTTACAACTCCTAGTGAACATTCTTGGCAAGGTTAAAAGTGCCGTTTACGAGAAACGGCAAGAAGCTAATTTATAGGAGTGTATTCCGTCTGTTCTGGTTAGATTTTCACGACGAGGGTGGTCGGGAGGCGCGGTACATCGCACACTTGCCTTTCACCAAGGCGGCCGGGGTTCGATATCGATCGGACGTAGAAAGGATTTGGTACATTTAAAGGGACATCACGCGAAAAGACATATTTTTTTTAATGAATGTATGTATTGTATGCACTTCCACTTAAGTTACCTCGCTATCCCCATATTCATAGTCCGTTCCAAATGTCCAGTTTGACCACTTGAATTGTTCGGGAAAGCCCTGCTAAAAATAGGGCCGGTCACGTCACCTGACTAGGCAGTAAACACGAGCGGTCTGGGCTAGATGATACGGTTTCCAAAGGGGCCCCCAGAGAGGGGCGTCAGGCAACTGCAACTTCTTACCGCACTATGAAACCAAGTACAGTACTGTAAGATGATTTCTAAGTCCGTATTAAAATTTATTGAACAGTAGTTATTCATCATTAGAAGTTAATTGCACACTTGCCAATATTCAGAATTTAAATTTATTTAGCTTTAAACATATTTCTTGCCAATACAAGGGATGGGGCACACGTTTTTACAATTTATCACAGCCTTCTCCCGTCATACATTTACAATTAAATGTCAACAATGATAATAGGCATAAACATATAGTATATATATATAGATATATATTGAATTTAGTACCGGAATGTGACATCTGTACGGGGCTAAACACCTTTCTTCAACCATGGGACAAACCTTTCTGTAAAAAGGAATATTCACGAGACGAATATCCCTTTTCAAATGTTTTCATAAAGTGCATATATGCAATGACAAACTACACGCGTATAAAAAAGAGAAACGTTTGTGATTTGTTTTATGACATTGTACAACTCAATATCTTTGGCCAATGTTTTTTTTCTATACCATGCATAAACAAATATGTATACTCTCTTTCCCACTTTCACCGTCTCCATACGCTAACACTTAGTAAGTCATATTAGCCATCACACACACTAAACTGTATGGCAAAACCACTACGTGTACATGTAGAATATGTGTCAGATATAGGCTACTTGATCATTATATTTTTTCAATACTTTTCATAGATTAAAGCATTCTTGTCAATGGACCCTTTTTATGTTGAGCCAAGTTTTCTTTAATCATTTCATTTTTGTCCGAAACAGAAGCCGTAGTTATCGGCAGCACGCGTCATTTTTACAACGTAAACAAATGTTTCTTCCCCTGTTTTCAATACGTATTCCGATTCTATCTGAAGTCGAAGATTAAATCTTTATAGAGAATAGGTTGTTACATGATCATACATTCTAAGTCAACAACATATGAAAACATGAACTGTTGAAATATTTCGATTTAAAAAAAAAAAAATGTTACGCGATCCTATTTACTAGAAGTAGGTTCTCCTTCCTCAGTTATTCATCCTGGCCCGTCATTTTGACATTTTTACTCTATAGCTGCGATAATGTAGCTTTCTGACGACGAGAGATTTTTTTTTATATAAGGAAGCCGGGTATTCATATTAGTACTAATTTAAATCTCGTATGTAAAAACAAACAAAAAATCGTTTAATTCAGCAATATAATTAAATCATACCATTTTACTGAACCCGGTAATATTAAAAATTATGTAAATCTAAAAGCGCACGTATCTCATTTGACCCCGATCACGAATACCGACAGAGACAGAATACGCCGTGGCTATTACAACAGTTAACCCTTGGAGGGCCTCATGACAAAATCAAACTAACCAGTCACTTATCCCTTCCTTTCGCATAAACCACTGTATACTTATAGAAACACAAAGTAAACTCTCTCCGATACATGCCCATTGACATATAAAACTAAGTTCATCTGTGTTCAAACTCAGACAAAGATACTTGCGAGGTTAATAGTTTTAGATATTTATTCATAACATAAACAGCGCTAGCATTTCTGTCGATTCCATTTCAGCTTAACTGGCTATCTGCACCGTACTAACTACTAGGGCAGTTATTTTCTCCTTTGAATACTTCCCACCTGTAATAAAGATTCCGTAACGTACTCCGTGCGCTATCTTTTGACCATTTGGCAACTTTTCGCTTCGTAGCTGACACGGTACAACACTTTTCTTTGGCTTACTTCACACGGTCAGTCATTTTGTTTACAAAGAAATGGTGTGCAATGCGCATGCGCTAATAGAGGGAAATCCCTGAACAAAACGTTGGTCAGACAGGGAGAAATACCGATGATTATCTTAGATTTAATCATTTTTATGAATCTATTTCAGCCAAATCCGATCGTTATTTTCCATAAGGAGTCTCACTTGATATGTCTATGTAGTATTTGAAAAAAAGACAAAAAAAATAGTTACTTCACCGTGATGCCCCTTTAACCTGCCCGACCTAATGGGTTTTCTCCGGGTATTCCGGTTTCCTCCCACATTAAGCCCATACCCCCACCCCATACCCCACGCGTTAACATCTGGGACAACAAGAGTGATTAGAATAAGTTTCAATAACTTGTGTTTTAACAAATGTTAAAAAATAAATAAAGTTTATGTATTTTTGTTTACATATTTTTACGACTGCTATATGGACTGTAGAGTCATGAGGCCACAGAAAGGTCAGTAATGGTCCATTGGATCACATTCATGGATAAGTATTGAATAAAAATCACAACAGACACAGTGGTTTGAGAACCTTATATATTTTTGTAGACATGTGTATTTTAGCAAATTACAAACTAGCAAGTTCAACACTATATATAACATGCCATGGAGGTTTAAAGCATGCAGAGCCATAGAATATAGTGCTATTCAGATTTTTTTTTCAATTCAACTTTTATTCCTTAAGTTTGACAACTTATTGGATAACTATAATTTACAATAAATTACAAATGATATATACATATATGTATTGTGCAATCAACACTCATTATCACTCCCACATCATTATTGTGAATTCAACAATCATAAACGCCCTCACATCATCATCATCATCATCATCATTATCTGACATTAACAACAACAACAACATGTAATCCGTAATGATACAAATGTCAATAATACATACATAGACATTTATATAAATTATATTGATATGCATGTTTACGTCACTCGTGCCTTATTTGCCTCAAAATTATATCTAGCAAGTTTACGAAGATCGCTGATATTGTCAACACTTAGTAACTGTACAAGTTTATACATTGAAGGATTTCGCTAGTAATATGGTTTTATGTATTTATGATTTACTAGTATACATGTATGAGGATTGTATACAATGGAAATAGGATAAGACGGCTTATTTAATCGCCCCATACTCGGTCTCTACGACAGTGAACGTTGGCCTATGGTGTGACTGACGTCATATTCCGGCGTAACACTCCCACAAGTGATCTCCTAGGTCTGATTATAAATGCGTGTGCTAAAATCAAAGGTCGTATCGTTGACTCTTTCACCCGAAATTCCTTGTTGTAGGTGAACTATCCTCCTTTATAACACTGCGTATAACTCTTACGTCAATAGTGTTTATTCAACACTTTTAACCACATTCTGTGGCTCTAGCACGAAAAGGTTTTCTGAAATATCAGATTCGTTTTCTTGATTTGATGAATGAGCTTTAGCTTGATCGGTATTGTCTTTTTCCAAAATAAAATAATTATCTACCTCTTCACCAGTTATGGGGTCGGAGTCGTGGTTGTCATCGACAGTCATATTTCCAACAGAAATTGGAACGTTAGAATAAATCTCATCAAAATCTTCAGTTTCCGGCTCCAGTATGCTTCCTCTATTTATTTCATCATCGAAATCAATTCCGAAATTAATGTATACATCACTTTCCCGTTCACGGGGAACATTCGGTTCATGATCACCGTCGATTTTATTTCTCATAATGGGTTTGCTAACATTTTCGTACTCTGGTGAACTAGTAGGCTCGACAATGAGTTCGAGATAAGATTTACTGCTCACTGTCGATGTACGCGTTCCTGCTGCATCATCTTCCTTATTTCCATTTACAGTTCCGGTTCCGGTACCAGCACTTATGGGTAGACACACATCATATGACATGTTTCCAGTTGTGTTCAATTTAGAATGTTTTGGTGGCAACCTCTCTTGATATGTTGATGACTGAAATGTAAGACCAATACAAGCTGTACTAAACTCCACGCTTGACATGCGGAAGAAATCGTTTATCGATGTAACCACCAATAGCAAATTAGAACCATTAACTTAATCAGCAATGTTTTCTCAACACACGGTAAAAAGCTCAAAGACAAGGGTGGCAAGCGCAAGACAGGTAACGTCACTTCTCCGATGACAAAGAGGACACCAATAGGAGTCGACAAAGAAGAGAAAACGAGGATGAATACCACTTACATGCGGAAAAAAGTGTGGTTTCCAATAGAAAATATTCCATCTCGATGCTAATGCCGGAAGTTCTAGATAAATAGACAGAACCTCTAACCTGTCGTTGAATTGTTTATATTTCGACTGTCAAACATGGCTAAGACACTGTTACCAACATCCGACTTCTTAGTTTACGAAAATAATATTGGCAAGATTTTATTGAGGATAAACAGTCTCCTGGAAACAAAGCTACATGTAGAAAGAGTTTCAGTAAATGGTGATTATTAGTAATGGTCTTACATACTATCCAAAATCTCCTTTCGAATCACCTTGCGACCTATACCATTGTTAATTGTTGACAACTGGCTGGATGTTCTGGTAAAGTTGTTGAAAATGATAGAAAAAAGGAAGATTTTTGTAATGTGGAGCAATAAATGACTACTGGGCATATAGTACCCACGATAACAGACCCCAAAGTCGAGCAGAAAAACAATATTGAAGTCTGCAACCTTCATAATATTAAACATGACATACAGACTTGAAGAACACAGTTTTAATCTCCCCATCAGAACAGTATTTTTTTGCGATTGACAAAAGAGACATATACATGTACACAAGTGGAAACAAGACTATGGTGTTCATATTTACCTCGCCGTCATTCGATCTGTTGTTCTGTTCTGTTCCTCCAAATTTTGGAATTTTGAAATTAAATCTGAAAATTGGAAAAATAATATAAATCTGATTAGTTATATGTATACTTGATAATATTTTTTGTGGGATCAGTGTTGATGACTTAACCACGTGAGAATGTTTGAATTTTATTTTCCTTGTACAATATACAGTGTAGCTGGAATTTATTCTTGCACGGTTATACGTGAAACACTGATTAAGAATAAATTATCTGTTGGAACCAAAATGGTAAAGCTGTGACGTAGCAGTTTTATAGGCACCCCTCCCGTTTTTCTATTTTCTGCGTGTATTTTGGAACACCTCAGAATTACATTTTTACTTGTTTGACCTTCAGTAATACTGATGAGTCCGACATGGATGAAATGACCATACCATGCAACATACATAATAATTTTGTCTTTCGGTATAGATTAAATAATCATTTAACAGATGATTCATGCTTCCTATTTCCAGTGATTAAATCGAAAACGTGATGTAACATTACACAGATTGTACTACCTACAATATTCAACAATAACACAAAACATGTTGTTCGTTTGCTCATAATATATTGCTTTTACACGGATGTTTTACCAATGTCATATGGGAAATAACGAACATTGCATCATACGTTACAGCTGCCACATGATCCATGGTACTTGCGTAAAATCGAGGCAGATTAATAAGAAAACAACGAGCTGCCTGTTTAGACTATCAACTCTCGTCCATTACCTGCTTCTGTTAATCCAACCCTTGTGTTTGGCCAGAAGGATAATCAGTACAACACCCATGACCACCAGCAAGACGACACAGATCACTATTCCCGCCACCAAACCGCCATTGGGGTCGTCAGGACAGGTAGCGCCCTCTGGTTGTGGTCTCCTCGTAGTGACATTCCCCGCCATTTCAATCATAGATGTCTCAAGTTAATCCTGCACAAATTAGCGATCGAACAGACAGAAAATTACTAAGATAACATTTTGTAACAGATTAAGGTATATATTAACACGTAACAACTGTGATAAGTTATGTCCAATTCAGGTTTGATAAGAGAACAAAGATGGTCTGGTTTGTTGTGTTTTACGTCCTATTAATAGCTATGGTCATTTAAGGACGTGCCAGGTTTTGGTGGTGGAGGAAAGGAAAGCCGGAGTTCCTGGAGAAAAACCACCGACCTACGGCCAGTCCCTGGCGACTGCCCCACGTAAGCCTCGAACCCGCGACCCAATGGTGGAGGGCTAGTGGTAGCAGAATGTCAGACGCCTTAACCACTTGGCCACCGCGGCCCCTAAAAAGATGGAAGTACAGACTAACAAGAAAGATGAGCGTAAGACACACACATGTGATCGCACCTATACAATTTGGTAACAGATACAGTCGATTTTAAAAGAGGTTACTATAGCAATCAAGATAAGGGCAAACCTCGGGGACTAAAAAATCCACCAGCAGAGTCTACCACCTTGTGTTGTGAACGACGAACGTAAGACACCCAGCTGATTACACCTATACATTTGGTAAGATATACTGTATGCCGAAAATGATTTGAATTACACTTCACCAATCAGCTGTTTGTCCTTCTAGGACTCATCTGTGATGCTAGGGGCCAGAAGGGTGGAAAACCCAACTGATCGAATCTACTGTTGTGATGTGTTAAACATACTTTTTTGATTATACGAGTATTTTAAAAAAAAGAGGAGTACTGGAATTTCAATAAAACTTTAGATAGAGCATAAAAAATATATAGCAAGAAACTTAAACAGAAATACAAAGACATATCTTGTGAGACCAAAAACTAGTGTAATCCCCCCCCCCACCCACACACACACACACACACACACACGCCGTGTCATACTCTGACAAACTGTTACCCGAAGTACTTACATTGAGGAACAACGAGAGACAAAATGGCAGTTGTTCCGGGAAATTATCCAGTTTTGCCAAGAATTCAAAACCAAGCTTTGTCTAACAATGAAAAACACTAGCATTCAAGGAAAAATAGAGAACGCATATTGTATACCTCACACGGGTAACATGACAGGAAACTCCACAAAGCTCTACTGACACACTGTTATCTCAGAATGTGGACTAAACCACAGGACATAAAACAAACAAATATATTGATACTGCCTTCTCATGTGTTGCACTACCCCGCCAGCTGTTACTTTCGCCTCCCACCCTAACACAATATATACCAACATCAAGTCATAGCGGAATTTTAATCGCCCAATTGTAATAGACACTGATACCAGAAATGCTTAAGTAAGACTGAAATACTCCAGAAACGTTAGTTTTCTTTTCGTTTGTATCGTATATGGATAACCACAACACAGCACAGTAATACAACACAATACATTAACTTTTCAATTGAGAATTGATCATGCACTTGTCATTATTGTGTCACCGCAAACAAATGTCACGGAAGATCTAACATTTCCTCAAGCTGTTAAATATGTTCAGGGAAAGATAAAATAATCCACCTTCTGTAGAAAAATGATTCTATTTAGCTATATCATTCAACATGTGTCATTTCGTCTTAATATCGGAAACAAGCTATTTTTTTATAACATTATTTTGATGACAGATATTCGCCGTCGAATTATAAGACCTATTCCGTCGGCTTGTATGCATGATCACGGCATGATAATCTGTTGTACAAATAACTATTTCGTAATTAAACACAGCAATGCATACATATATGTAAATAGCCACACATATATCCAGACCTTTGCATGCACACACCTACACACATACACACCCATCCTCATATATAAAATGTACATACATCGAGGTTCTTGCGTTAAAATCACCTGCCAGGATAACATTATCCTTTCCTTGTGAAACATTAATTAACTCTTCCTCTATTTCAGTAAAAGCATTATCAGATGAATATTTTGTATATTCTGGAGGAATGTAGATACAGCCAAGTAAGACATTTTCATTCATGTTCGAAATGTGATTAGAAATTTCAAACCATTGTACGAATGTGGACTCGGACTTATGGAAAAACCTCGACAAAACTTGTTTATAAATTACATTGATACCGCCAGACTTTTTTTGTACATTTCTGTCTGTGTTTAGCGGAGTATGCATATTCATTAAACAAATTTATGTCATCGAGTTCATCACTTTTAGATTCAACACACAGTAATAAATCGTATTTAGATATCAGATTATGGAAATCTGGATTGAGAAGTTTGGATTTCAGACCACATACATTCAGTAAATCAATTTTGAGTTCAATGTTGAAATTTTGTCGTGGTTCATTAAGAAACGTGTCTGAGTGTCTGTCCTACAGGGGCCCGTTGCGTGGCAGGAACTGGTGCCCCTGTCCTGGGGGATATGCTGGGTCTTGGGGAGGAAGCTGTCCAGAATACACTGAAGGACCTGAGTATACGCCGGCCGAGCCACGCCCGGTGCCCTGGGGGGCCGCGAGCTCGCATCCGGGTGCTCGTGGAGCCGTACGAGATGCATCACTCCCGCGTTCCGACGGAGGATTGCGTTCATGTCTACGTTCTGGTTGGGGGCCTTGACTACGTTCCTGGGGAACAGCTCCTCCGTTCCAGCTTTGGATACCCATGCTCGCGTTCCAGGGAACGGTGTCGCGTTGATACTGCTGGAGGTCATCGTACGGACGGCCGTCCATGTAGAGGGTGTAGTATGGAATAATGACGTTCACATGACGACGTTTGAGTTCCTTAATTTTCGTGTACAGAGCGTAGCGTCTATCACTTATTTCGGGTGGGTATTGTTGGGATATTGAGAACTCCGGTTTATTCCGTAGTTTTGACGGGCATAACTTTAGGACGCGGTCGAGGTCCTCGTATCTAGCAAACTTTCCAATAATGCTTCGTGGTTTCCCATCCCGTCGTGCCCGCAGTCGGTGAACATTATGGAACTTAATGTTTTCAGCATCGGACATCCCCATCTCCTCAAATAGGATTTTTTTAACACTTGCTCGGTTTTCTTGTCATGTACAGGCCCAGTAGTTTCAATCCCGGTAAAAATCAAATTATATTTCATAGAATGTGTTTGCAGTTTAAGGAAACTTTCATGTAGATCGTGATTCTTCCTCGTCAGCTCTAAATTTCTCCGTTCGAGACTTTGGAGTCTCTGTTCAATAGTAAAGTGATGTTCTTTCTGTTTGTTAATAAAATCGGAATGTTTCTGAGTCGTGTGCTGTATATTGGTGATCTCTTGTTTTAGATGTTCGTTTAGGTGTTCAAACACTTCAAATTTAGTTTTTATCTCGTCAAGTATGTCGAGTTCTTGTAATTTACATGTAAGTACATTGTCAACTTGTTCAATTCTGCTATTCAAACTTTGAATGTTGGCCATGGGCATATGCATGGTGATATGGCTGGTGGCCGAGATAGGCGCCGGTGGAGTGGACGGGTATCGGGGTGGGGGTGGGAGTGGTGAAGTCGATACCCAGGGTATGCTGATCCCCTATGGTGAGGACGGCTGATGTACGTGCGCACCTAGTAGACTGGTGGGCGTACTGTTTCATGAATGTACAGGTAAAGCACCTGTGAACGGGAGTTGATAAACCGGTTGGTAGACCGTAGCGTACGGGAGTACGTGTGGAGTAGATCGATTGTCAATAGGCCCATTCTGATACATGTTATTAGAAATGTTCGATATATCCCCGAATTGTTGCCCGAATATAGATCCATGTGCTTCTGCCAGTATTTACTCATTATTTTTTTTACCATTTTCATAAATGCCGACTTGGGGAAATTTGGGCAGTTTTCCGCCATAGCTCTTTTGTATATATTTTAGCTTGTCTTGTATTTAGTGTACATCAAGTATGTAATGATTGTATCATGTGTATATGCATAAATGAATTTTAAATTATTAACCTAAAATTTGATAAACTGACAATTAAGTGTTTATTATTTTTTTTTTCAATTTCATCCCCCCCTCCCCCCAATATATATATATCCAAAAATTCCAAACATATCACATACACAGAAAAGCTAAAGCTTAATAGACACTGAAGTGTATATTTATTATCTTATTTTATCAGTTTCATACCCCCAAAATTTATTAAAACTTATAAAATATATACTCAAAAAAACCCTAACATAGCACAGTTGAGGAACAGAGGACCGCCGGGTTTAGTCCAGGACAGTTTGTTTCGAGCGTCCCTCTTAGTACTCCTGGTTGTGGTGGTGCGTCCACGCCAGGTGGGGAACAGAGGACCGCCGGGGTTAGCCCAGGACAGTTCGCTTCGAGCGTCCCTCCTAGTACTCCAGGTTGTGGGGGTGCGTCCACGCCGGTTGAGGAACAGAGGACCGCCGGGGTTAGCCCAGGACAGTTCGCTTCGAGCGTCCCGCCTAGTACTCCTGGTTGTGGTGGTGCGCCCACGCCAGTTGAGGAACAGAGGACCGCCGGGTTTAGCCCGGGGCAGTTCGCTTCGAGCGTCCCTCCTAGTACTCCAGGTTGTGGTGGTGCGCCCAGGCCGGTTGAGGAACAGAGGACCGCCGGGTTTAGCCCAGGACAGGGGGGTTCGAGCGTCCCTTTTAGTACTCCTGGTTGTGGTGGTGCGTCCACACCAGCTGAGGAACAGAGGACCGCTGAGTTTAGCCCAGAACAGTCTGTGTCAACTCACTTGACCAATGTTAGGGAGATGCTGGAGATGGAGGTGGTGACCGAGGTCCCAAGACCCGTTAACAAAATACCGGTAGAGTCACACAAATCCACCTAGGACAGGCAGAAGTGTGAGACATACAAAATCTTATCATGGAATGTGTGTAGAAGCCTGAGTGACAAATTGAAGGATATTGACTTTGTGAAACTTTTAACGGCACAAGTCATGATATAGTTTTCTTGTATGAATGTTGGGTAAATCCTGATGATGAAATTCCATTGGATGAGTACTACACATATAGATTCCCTGGAGTAAATGGAAAGGGAGGCGGAATTGTAATATATGTAAAATCCTTACTCAGTGATACTTGTACAGTTGTCGAAAATACATAAGATTGTATTGTTATATTAAAATTGAAGGGTGAAATTAATCCATCGGGGTATCATGATACATTTATATTTGCATGCTATTTTCCACCTGTAAACAGTACATTTTATGAAAAAAATGACATAGACCCATTTGTTAGTATAGAAGAATGTGTTTCCAAATACAAAACATATGGTAAAATTATAGTTACAGGTGACTTTAACAGCAGAACAGGTGAGGCAGAGGATTATATAACATGTGATAAATTAAGCGAAATTTCTGTACATGTGTTATCAAATATTTTTAATTATATACCAGACTCTGATATGCCATAAAGATACAATACAGATAAATATATAAATCAATTCGGGAGACGATTGCTAGAAGTGTGTAAGTCAACTGGCATACGAATTGTTAATGGTAGACATCCTGGTGACGCTAAGGGAGAACTTTCATTTTATAATATAATTGGAACTAGTTTAGTTGATTATGTTTTGGTGAATGACACCGATTGTGATATCCGATGACTTAAGACGGATGAATTTAACCCTTTTTCTGACCATGCACCTGTGTGTGTTTCATTATGTCGCGTCTATAAGAGGGTTGTAGAGGATCGCACACAAGGTAACACTAGTCATGATAGTAGCCATATACACAGAAAATGGAATGAGGAAAATAAAAATAAAATTTGTGAGGTATTACAGGAAAATATTGATAGGTTATTGCAAACTTGTAATGTCACTCAGTATGATCAAGAAGGAATTAACATGTGTGTTAGGAATTTTACTTTTATGTTAAATGAGCTAATAGCACCATATTGTAGCGAAACAAAAAGTAATACGTATACATGTAAGAGGGAAAATTCCACAAAGGGAGACAAGCCTTGGTTCAACGATATGTGTAAACAGCGATATAGGGAATACAAGAGTGCATTAAATATTTTCAATATATGTAAACCAAATCATATAAGAGAATGTCTTGTCACTAAAAAGTCCGTTTATAAGAAGCGTGAATGCAAGTTGAAAAGAGAATATAAATGTCAACAAGGAGATATGATGAATTATGTAAGGAAGCACAATCCTAGACTGTTTTATAAAACATTTAGAAAGCGAAAACAAAATATGAATACTGAACTACATGCAGCTGATTTTTATCACCATTTTTCCTCATTATGTTCTGAGGAGCGTATTGTAGACAATGATATTTCATTTTTTTTTATATATAATTATGATATCAATTTTGGTTGTCCTTTATTTGAAGAACTTGATGTTGAAATAACTCAGAATGAAATAGATAAGGCCATTGGAAAACTTAATAACAATAAAGCTTGTGGACAAGATGGTATACTCAATGAATATTTCATGAATTGTAGAGAAATTTTAATGCCATGTCTATTATTATTATTTAATAATATATTTAAGACAGGTTGTTTCCCATCTTTATGGTATATAGGAAATATTGTACCTGTTTTTAAGAAAGGTGACATTAATAACACAGACAATTATCGCGGTATTACATTGTTGAGTTGTGTAGGTAAGCTTTTCACAGCCGTGATAAATAATAGGCTGGTAGCATTTGAAATGAAATATAATAAAGTAACCGAGGCCCAATATTGGTTTAGAAAAAATCATTGCACTGTTGACGCTATTTTCGCTCTACAGACATTAATTAATCGTATGTTAAAAAATAAAAAAACACCTTTATTGTTGTTTTGTGGATTATACAAAGGCGTTTGATTTTGTAAACAGACAAAACTTGTGGTACAAATTGATTAGAGAAGGAATTGGGGGTAAAATGCTTAAAGTTATAAGATCACTTTATAAGGATGTGAAATGTTGTGTAAATTATGGAGGTACATTGTCCAATTATTTCGATTGGGATAATGGATTATTTCAAGGTGAAATTTTATCACCTCTTTTATTTGCCCTATATGTAAATGACTGTGAGATGCATTTTTTAACTGATAATTGTCCATCGATTGAAATACAAGAGATCAATATGTTTTTGTTGATGTACGCTGATGATATGGTTGTCATAGCAGAAACGCCGGAAGGTTTGCAAAAAAAATGCTAGATTCCTTGTCAAATTATACGTATAAATGGGATTTGACAGTTAATACCCAAAAAAACAAAATTGTTGTATTCCGAAATGGGGGTAAGTTGAAAGAGAACGAAATTTGGTGGGATAAAGGCAAGAAATTAGAAGTAGTTGACACTTTTAACTATTTAGGAGTGCTACTTAATTTTAACGGGAAATTCATAGTAACTCAAAAACAAATTGCTGACCAAGGGAGAAAAGCAATGTTTGCAATTGTTAACGTTTGTAAAAATAACTATTTTAATATAGAAACGCAGTTAGCTGTGTTTGACACATGTAAATAGCGTACTTAGTTACGGGGCGGAAGTGTGGGACTTCCATGCAGCTCCAGATATAGAAAAGTTATATGTAAATTTTTGCAAACGTATATTGGGATTACATAGTAAGGCAAGTAATTATATGGTATATTATGAACTAGGACGGTATCCTATGAATATAGTGCGTAAATTTCGTACTTTCAAATATTGGATAAAATTAATAAAATCTGAAAACTGTATTCTAAAATCATGCTACTCTGAGATGCGATCTAACAACGATATATGGTTAAGTAAGGTGAGGCAAGAATTATACAGAATTGGTCTTGGTTATGTGTGGGAAGCCCCGAGTCTAAATAATGATATATTTTTTATAATTAAGGAACGCATTTCTGATATATTCAAACAAGAATGTTTTGAAAAAATAACATCTTCTGCAAAAGTTGCACTTTACCAATATATTTGTAATTTTGGACTACAGTTTTATTTGTCCAAATCTATCAATATTAATTATGTAAAACATCTTTGTAAAATAAGACTATCAGCACACAAATTAAATATTGAATGTGGCAGGTATAACAATATCGAACGAGGAAACAGATTGTGTACATTATGTGATATGAATGAGGTAGAAGATGAATTTCATTTCATTTTAAAATGTCCTTGTTATGCTGACATACGAGCTAAATTCATCAAAAAATATTATTTAAACCGTACTAGCATGTTTAAATTTATCCAACTGCTAAACAGTAATAGTTTATCAGAAATTAGAAATTTGGGTAAATATCTAGTGCATGCGAACAAGAAAATGTCTCAACTTCTGTAATTAGTGGTTACTGTTCACTCTCCACTATATTATGTACAAATATAATACCTAGACATATTATGTTTGCATGGATGTAAATTGTATTGTACTGTATGACTTAAAGTAATAATAAACTTATTACTTACGTTACATACACAGAAAAATTACAAGTCGGACAGGTAACTGTCACACAGGAAAGTTACCTGTCGGGAAAGTATGAAACAGACTATAATTGGTTTGCCATTGTCTTCCTATATCAACACGTTTCTTTGTTATATAAAAAGTGAGGGAACTGATAAGGGGTCTTCCCCGAATACCAACTCTGCTTAAAATCACATGTTTACATAGGTGGTCAGTTATGATGATAGTGAGTTATAGTCTATTGCAGTAAAGTGTACAGGTAAATCAACTTCTGATAACTAATCAGATAATCAATAGCTGCTAATAATTGCAAAATAATAATTAATATTTAGAGTTCCGATCCCAAGCTGTTCTTCTGATAACTAAGCTGCTAATAATTGCAAAAGAATCAATAATATTTAGAGTTCCGATCCCAAGCTGTTGAATGGGTAATGTATAAAACTGCAGCACACTTTGGAGAATTATCATATTTCGCTCTGTACTTGGAAACATTCTTTACTCAGTGAATGTGCATTTTGTATTCAGAATTTGTCATCGTTTTAGTTAAACTTGTACCTTCAGACTTGTGTGATTTCTCTTATAATTATTGTCATATAAAACTTGTACTTATTTTCAGATTTGTGTGAACTTGTGTGACTTTATCTGTTATTGTGTGCTTTGATACATAGCTATTATTTAAACTTGTACCTTCAGACTTGTGTGATTTCTCTTATAATTATTGTCATATAAAACTTGTACTTATTTTCATATTTGTGTGAACTTGTGTGACTTTATCTGTTATTGTGTGCT